AGCAGATCACTGGTTGCTCGGGGCTAATAGGGGGTGGGGTGAGTGGAGAAATTGACAGGGAAGGACACAAAAAACCTTTCAAGGTGATGGAAATGTTCTCTCTTTTTATTGTTGTGGTTACAAGGTTGTACTTATTTGTCAAAACTCATCAAAAAATACTGTATTAGTCCATTTCTGTTGCTTATTATGAAATACCTGAAACTGGGTGATTTATAAAGAAAAATGAAATTTACTGCTTACAGTTTCTGAGTCTGGGGATTCCAAAGTCCAGGGAATACATTTGGTGAGCGTCTTGGTAGTGATAACAGTGACCCAAGGGTTTCACATTTTAAGATGGTGGAAGCAGAGAGAGCAGAGAGAGGAAAAGACAGACTCTCCTTTTCTTTTAAAGCCCTCAGAACCACGCCCTGATCACTATTTTTAATCTGTTCACTACTGCACGGTCCTACAGTCTAATCACCTCCCCAAGGTACCACCTTTCAATTACCATAATGGGATTTCCCACCCTCTGAGAAGCCGCAGTGGGGGCTAAGTTTCTAACATAAGAAATTTGGGGGAAACAATTCAAGCTTCAATGAGTTTTAGGGGGACATAATTCAATCCACTACAGGTACTCATAAAATGGATGCATATACTTTATTGTATATAAAATTTTTCAATAAAGTCGAATAACAAAAAGTATCAGATCTGAGAGTTTCTGTTTTTCACAACACGAGTTTATTTTGCCCTCATTATAAATAATAGTTTAGTGCCACACAGATTTGTAGATTGATAGTTACTTTCCCTCACATTTTAAATATATTATTCTATTGTCTACCTATTGTTGCTGAGAAGCCAGTCTGTCCAAGTGTTAATGTGTCTTATTTTCCTCTTCCAGTAGCTTTGAAGATTTACTTTTTGTTTTGGATGTTGGGCATTTTCACTAAGATGTGTCTAGTTGTGGATTTGTTTTTTATTTATCCTGCTTAAGATTTGGTGTGATTCATAAATCTAATGACTTCTTTCTTCAGTTCTGGAAAGTTCCCAGGATATTGGATCTTCTTTATCTCCTCGATTCCTTCCTTTTGGAATTCCTATAAGATATATGCTAGACTCTCTTATTTAAACTTTCTAGTTTCCTAATATCTCTTTAATATTTCATATTTTCAATGCCTTTATCTATTTGTGCTACACTTGTGCTGAAATAATTTTCTTAGGTCTATCTTACATTCCATTCTCTTTACACTAGTGTTGGGATTTTTCACCACTGCAATTTTAATTTCATACTTTTCAAACATGCCTATTTGTTTTTTATGCCATCCAGTTCTAGTCTTACGACATCTATTTCTACCTTTAGCTCTTTGCACATTTTAAATATGTTTATTCTAAGTCACTTTAATTTTTTTCCATTATTCCAGATCACAGTGTGCTAATTCTGCTCACTACTGTGTCTATATCCTGTTTTCCTATGTGGTTTGTAATTTTTTATCACACGTACATTTTCAGCAGGGTTTGTTTACCATGTGACTCCATCAAGCCTGGGTTTTATGGAAGTGGTTTGGGGCTTCTCTCTGCCAGATCCCTAGAGGTTTCATTGGTCCTGTCCTAATTTTTATGTTAAACTTCCATGGCAGATTGTGTTCCCACAGAAGGCCGCAACAGTATCTTCCCTCCCAAAAGCTCCTTTGCAATGTGATGTTGCCACCCATCTGTGAAGAGGTGAAGTTTATTTCTCCTTCCCCTGATTCTGGGTGGAAGTGGCACTGCGTAACTTCCAAGACTGGCCTTACAAGATTCCCAACTTTCACTTCACCCCATGAAATGTCCCTTACTAAAGTGCTTCTTCTTCCATAAAGCCTTTTTTGGTAACCCAAACTGTAACCTTTCTCTCTCTTAAAGCCTAATACTGTAATATTTTTTACCTGTAACTGTCTTGTGATTTCTATCTTTTCAGGACTTTAAAGCATAGAGGTTTAGAGCAGAAGTTGACAAATTACAGTCCACTGGCCAAATCCAGCCCACTGTCTGGGGGAATAAAGTTCTATTGGAACACAGTCATACTCACTCATTAATACAAGTCTGTGGTTACTTTTGCACTACAATGGCAGAGTTGATTAGCTGCAACAGAGACCAGATGGCCCACAAAGCTTAAAATATTTACTATATAGCCCTTTACAGAAAAAGTTTGTCAGTCCTTGGCAACAGTGTGGTGTTATGTTAGATATCATTACTTTTTAAAATAACAGTATATAGTTATGTGTGCATATGTGAGGTGTTCAAGACGTGAGCTTCATTAAGCAAATATGAGCAGTCTTCAAAAAATTCATGGAAAGATGTGTATTATTTTTTAATTCTATTTTTATGCTAACTTTTTGAAGTAACCTCGTACCTACATTGAGCTTAGGGAAACAGAATACAATTTCCCTTTGTAAATTCTATTGTGGAACATCGTGACTGCAGAATAGACATGGGTTAGTGTGTACCAGAACATCTTTGGTTGTTTGTGCAAAATGCCCATCTGAAGATGAGATTTAGAAAGTGAAGAAGTTGATATTGTCATTTCTATCATGAAATGATCTTTCATATTTTGTGTTTCTGCAGAGCCAGATTTTTGGAAAATGGAATGTCAAAGATGGTTTATCAGTATGGATAAAATAAGTGTGAGGCCACTGTTAAAAACAAAATACCAGAAAACGAGGCCGACTGCACACCGACAGCTCAGAGATGGTTGTTAAGGGAGCCCTCTTTCTAACCAAATCCCCCAGCCAGTAGTATTTTAAAAGAAGTAATGTATGTCCAATCAGAAAATTTTGCTTCCTTATTCCTTTTAGGATGTTATTAAATTTTCTTCTAGGAAGGAGGCCAGTAAACTTCAAATTGTTTCTCCACTGTTTGTGCAGTGAAAACAGCAGGTGGGAGGGGAGTGTTTAAGGAGCCTGGCATTCTGCACAGCATCAGGGCCTCTTTAATTAGAGAGAAGCTGTCAGGGAAGATGGACAATGTTCCCTTTGTTAGAGCAACACAGTGTCTTTCAAAATCATATTTGTTTTTAAACTCAGAGTATTTGCACACAGCCACAATGAAAAACACATTTTAGATGATGCATAAGAATTCAGATAGGAGATGTTTGCTGTCAAAAGTATAACAAATAGTGACACAGGCTTTTGAAAACCATGAGTTGCTATGAGAGTGCTGTAAAAAGTTCACTCTAACTTTGAAATTTGCTGGTAAATGAGTTATGTAGACTTGAGAGGAGCTATAACACACACGTATACTTTGAATATGAAAATGGAATGGAAACTATTCTGACAGTAGAAGTAAATTTTATGACAGTGGATTCTTAGTCGCTTTTTTTTTTCTTTTGTAGACATCTCCAATTCTAAGTACATTTAGATAACAGTAAAATAATATAGATTGTGAAAACTTCAGTTTCCAGGAATTTCGTTGTCTTGGGCAAGAATATTGAGAGGATGGTGTCTTCAGATATCTTAGTGATGAAAGTTACATCACCTAAGGAATTTTATTTTCTAGGACAAATGGTCTGTTATGGCTACTCAATAGTATACTAATATCTTACTGAAGAATTTCCCTTAAGAGAAGTGACCCAGGGGCAGAACCAGTTGTTGAGATTTGGCCGAGGTCACTGTGCATATAAAATGCCTTTTGTTGTATTTATTTTTCCAATGTGGTTTTATTACATGTAATGCTGGATTACCCAATAGGCAAACTATACATATTCTAAAAGCATCAAAATAGGGACACCAAAAAAGAAACAATTTGGGGTGGTCAAGAAATTGATTGTGTGTGTGTGTGTGTGTGTGTGCGTGCGTGTGTATGAGGGTACTTGAAAAAGCTCATGAAAAAATAGAATTGAAAGATAATATGAATCTTTCCATGAACTTTTTGAAGTACCCTCGTACTACCAATACTCCATGTGTGTGCATGCATGTGCATATATGTACATAACATCAGGATAATTGTTATGAGAGAGGAAAACAAGACTCTATTGGACCTTCTTAAAGCTAATATATGTATCAGTAAGTTTCTATTCTGAATTATACATTAAGGCAGGGGATGCGATACTTTTTTCAATGTTCATGGCCGTTAAAAGTCACAATCAGGCCCGATTGTGATCAGCCTTGCATCATACACAGCCCTTTTCCACAAGGAACTTGTGACCTATACAAGAATGAGACATATACCGAGAAGACAATTAGATACCTCACCAGTATATGATTTAGTTATAATTGTGTGTGTTTGAGATTTTATTTGGTTTGACTATGTTGTTAATGCTCATGTTGACAGAGTACTTTATTAAATTGTTAAATGCCTGTTTGTTTGAAATACGGGTAATTTGCAATGTGATTACATGCCGTAAGAGGTGACCCACCACACCGCAGGCAGGTGATCAGAGAGCATCCCTTCATGGTTGAAATTCGCTCAGCTATATCCCAGTAGACTAATGACTGTGGAAATAAGCTACATGGAACTCAACTAACCAGCACCTTCAAATAATTGGATTTTTCCCTTTGTACTTTTGTTTGATGAAAAAAGAAGCAATGCTAAGGTAATAACCAATAACAGAAATTATTTTAAGCAAGTTCCTGAGTATGACTCTGGAGCAGGATATATTAAGCCCAATTTCCTAGCCCACCTCCATCTGTAGTTCTGCTTTGTGAAAACTATTATTGCTAAAGCTGACTCTGGAAAACTTCAACCTTTAAAGAAATATTAATTTGATTTGCAATATTGCTCTTATAAAGCAGACAAGCAGATTCAGAAACATTTTTTAACCATAAGAATTGAGGCAAAAGAGTTTTCTATACAACTTTTAGTTCATTTTACTGAAACCACAGTTTTATTTATTTGGCTCAACACCCACCATTGAGGTAAGTAAATTTTATTGTGTCTGGAGATGTGCTCTGTGTCCTGACTTCTTTCTCAGGGTCTCTAAGGATGGCAATATTTCCAAACAGGCCTACGAAAGAGATCCATCAACAAAGCCATATATGTGCCCCAAAAGTGTTTTCTCCAGGAAAATTTTTGCTTCCCCTTTGGAAAATCTCACTGAGTTCAAATAGTGTTGAGTCTGGGTTGCGGGTCTAGAAAACAATCATAAAATGAGTAGGATGAAAATCAACATTTTGTGAGCACCTCCTGTTTCCCATTGCTTTATCTATATTACTTCATTTACTTCTCATAAACCCCCTTTAATATCATTGTACTCTTATAATCTCTATTTTTCAGATAAGAATGCTGCAGCTGTATTTTTGCCAAAAGTATTTAACCTGAATCTAATCAAGATGAAACAATCAGACAAATTGAATTCGAGGAACATTATTCAAAACAACTTCAAAACAATAGTTAAAAATAACTCTTCAAAGCTGTCAATGTCTTGAAAGACAAAATAGGAGAACTATTCCAGATTAAAGGAGATAAAAGACAAATGATAAATCAAAACCAATACATGATACTTGTTAGAACCTAATTGAAAACAGCAACAATAAGAAACATTACTGGTACAAAAGAAAACATTAAAATATGGGAAAACCATGGTATTAAACACAAGAACCACACGGAAATAAGAAAACATCCAGTGGTGCTTGGACATCTGCTCAAAAAGTCCAGCACATCATCAATTGCTTTTTAGTAACAGCAAAAGAAACATACACTGCTCTAACTAAAAAAAACAAAACAAAACAAAAACCCAAAAAACTGGCTTAAGAGAAAATGTTTGCCATTTTTATTTATTGACCCCCTCCTTCAAATAAATTTTTTAAAATTTTATAACCTCAAAAAATAATGAACTTAAATGCACTAGTGATGTGTGGTTATAGAATACTCATAATGTTAGAAGAGACATGCTAAAGTATTTAGAGGTAGAGTCTTAAAGTCCACAACTTACTCTCAAATGTTGCAGGTGTGTGTATGTGTGCACGTGTGAGCAGAGAGAGACAGAGAGAGAGAGTAGAAATATGGCAAAATATTAGCACCTGATGAATCTTGTGTAGTGTATATAGTGTGTTCCTCGTATTATTCTTTCAACTTTTCTTTGGGTTTGAAATTTCTCAAAATAAAAAGTTGGGGAAACCCCAAAGAATGCTGAGTCTCCAAGAAGTAAAATAATGAATAGCAAAGCTGAGATTTAAATCCAGGTATTTCTGCTTTAGCTTTGGTTCCATCTCTACACAAAGTTACCAACCATCTGGCTGGGAGAATAAGAGATCCCTCTCAAAAAATTAGCTCACAGTACAAGGTCTATTCCAACTGACATTGAGTCAGACTTATATAGCAAAGACCATAGGGGCTTGAAAGAGAAATTGAATCCTGCCAGGACGAGGAACTGTATATGCTTTCTTCAGGGCTCTGTGTCCAGGTCCTTGCATACAGTAGGCACTCAAATAAATTTGTTGAATAAGTACTTCCTGATAGGTTGGTCATCATATAGATTGTAGCTTTTGAATTAAGCATTTCAAGATGAGTTGAATTTTGATTGCTAAAGAAAAGAAGGGAAGACCACCCGGGTAGAGGAATGGCCTGCAAAAAAATGCAGAGGTGCAAAGAAAAGTGGGGGGTGAGGGGTGGGAGGGAGAGAAAACTGCATACATATGGATAAAGTTCTTCAGTACATCATCCTTATGTCTTATCTCATGCTTAGATTTGGTGATGGTTTTAGAGAGATATCATTTTGTGTTTGTGCTTTTATTCTTCCACGTGTTGTTCTTACCGCCCCCGCTCCCTGCCAGTTGGCATTGGATTAGGAGCATTGCTGACTGCTAAGGTCAGCTTGGGTTTTAGCTTTAAAGCATCCTGAATGAAAATGGTATCTGGGCACATCTGCTCTGAGGTGCAGAGCTAAAAGAAACCTTCGAAGGATTCCAGGAGTATTTCATTGGACAGCATGTATCTGCTTTCATACAAGATGAACCCCTAGCTGAATCTCCTTACTTTGCTGTTCCTAACCCATAAAGAAGACACTGGATGTACCCCTGAAGAACACCAGCATGCTGATTGTTAGCATGTCTGGATTGGTGCATAGGATCTCTGGCACTGTGGACCCTGCAGAAATGCCATCTCAAATGCATCATTTTGCTAAGTGCCCCTGCTCAGTGCCAATACTGGTTTGTCTTCTGAACAGGCATACTTCCTACAGATCATTCTTCAGCTGACCCCATGGCACAACACATTATACATTTAGTGATGTCACTCCCATTCCCTGACTGCAGATAAGAGACTCCTGAGAAAAGGAGGAAGTTTACCATTGAAGGGAAATGAAAAATATCTATTTTGTGTAATTCAACAGAGGCTCAACGCCAGATACACAGATCAAGTCCCAGTGCACTGAACACACAGACAGAAACTGACTCTGTGGTGAGAGTGTGGAGAATACAAGTGGAATGTGGGGCCAGAAAAAAGGCTAGAAGATCAGAGTCATGTGTAATGAAAGAGCAAAGAAAATCTCAGATTTCACATAAAGGAGGATTTTGGAAAGATTAGAACTACTGGAGCTGAGGATTCCTAAAGAATGTTGTATAATCTGGGTCCTTTCTGGTCCTGGAAAGTGAATTTTTGGGTTTGTTGAAAATAGGAAGGAAATATAAAGAAGAAATCTAATTTAGAAGGAAAAAACGTATTTGGGGGATATGTGCACTTTAAATGTTTAACAGAGTATCAATTACTCATCAGTAATTCAACCACCGTTCTCTACATAGCTAAAATTTTAGTAATATTTTATGCAATCTCAGGCCAAGAGAAAGATAGGATGTGTGTGTGTGTGTGTGTGTGTGTGTGTGTGTTTATGTGTGTGTATGCATAGCAGAAGAAAATGGAAAGTAAAGTAAAGGAATTTTTGGAGTTAGTGGGTAAATATTTCATTTTAAAGCATAGAGCGTTTTGACAGAATATAATATCTCAATCTGGGGGACAAATAAATATTATGGAGATTGGGTGTACTTATTTGGGATCATGCATTATCATTATTATTTTTATAAACTCTGCTTACTAAAAATTATTTCAGGCAGCTCACATTCATTCAAAAAACACTACTGAACACCTCTTATGCGCTTATGCAAGTGCCTAAATTTGTTGAGGTTGGGTATAGGATGCCACATCAACCAAAATTCATGATAGCATGCACAATGCATGTGATTACTAGCAGGAGACAATTCTCCAGGAGAAATTCTTAAGTTTCTGTATATCTTGTGAACAGAATGCCTTTGTTCTGGATTATCTTTTCAAGGATGTCTGTATATCTACCAGCCTTGGGGGAAGGAGGAAGAGACAGAGACAGAGAGAGAGAGAGAGAGAGAGAGAGAGAGAGAGAGAGAGAGAGAGAGAGAGAGAGAGAGAGCGCATTTCCTTTGGGAACAATGGGCCAGCGTGCTTACTTCACAGTACAGAAGATTTGAGTTCCCAGACTTGCGGTTTTTCTCTACACACACCCACAATACGTTGGTCTTTAAGCTACCTTGCAGGAGCTGGGGCTCGAGGAATGAGTGCAAATGCTGATGCTCTGCCGGTGAGAAATGGCTGTAATGGTCCTATGACTGCAAGTAATAAATAGTCCTACATCTCTGGCCCAGGGGTCCTGTGGCTTTAGCTAACAGCCATAAAAATGTGTGGATAACTTCTTAGTTTGCATGTAGAGTAAAATTTCTCTACCCTTCACAAATCTTGTCAATTGCTCTGGGTATTTGCATTTTATTCAGACAAATACTTGAGCCAGACTAGTACTTTTTTCAAGGTAAAATATCCCCTGTGGTATTTAATTTTCTGGTTAAACTTAAACTGAAAAATTTCCTCAAGAAAAAAAGGGTAAAGGATGGTGTTGTAAGGAAGGAAGAGGAAAAATGGAATGATGGGAAATAGTGAAAAATAGTGAAAAAAGGAAAACAGGTCAAAGAAGAGAGTAGGGCGTGGCTATTAAACTTTTTAATATGTGAAGACAAACATAATTTTTTAAAAAATTAGTTTCATCCAATGGCTATGTTAATAGAGATACTTTTGTTAAAAATACAGACAGTCTAGTTTATAGGGATAGAGAGGTGGCTTACTATTTTTCACCTATTTTTAAATGGCAAAATGTTATTACAATTCAAGAATGAAGACAGTTGTGAATAACTCTTTTAAAATGTAATCTTAATGAACGAAGAAGAAAATAAACCTATCTTCTAGTATTCAAATTATGCAGAGCTTGTTCTAAATACTGATGAATCCACCATTTGGAAGGGACGACTAATCTTGTTTGGAACTTGCCATTATTTAGTATGTAACTTGTTGCTATTTCTTAATTATAAAGGTGTCAGTAAAATTCACAAACTCAGTTGTTTAAATGTCTGATGCTTTTGAAAATCCAAATCTCTTTATTAGACAAAACAGATTTATTTATAAGATTCTATTCACTTCATTTTAATGAATATAAACATGAAATAGAGTGGAACAAACTGAATAAAATCATAGCATAAGTCAGTGAGTAAATTTTAACTAGAATAAATATAAGATAAACACAAAGCACCCTGACTGATTAAACAATACTGTACCTAGTGATTTTTTTTTTTTAAATCATGATGGAAATAAGGCAGCGTCCACTTACAAGAAAAGCACCACCGATTTCTCAATCAACTGTGAATACCCACAGGGGTAATTAAGGGCCACTCTTGTTAAACATGGACTGTAAAAATCCATCTAAATCAAGTAATCACCCTGTTGATTAAAAAGTAAAAAAGACAAAAATGATCTGATACATGCCTTAGAGAGAAGTATAAAATGATCTGAGAATATCATATGTGGTGGAGGAATTAATAATACATACAAAATTCTTTTCTAAATCTTTGAGTGGCATCCAGAATTATAGGGCAGTCTGATTTTCAATTTTATATATTTATGATTGCTGACATCTTGTCAACCGGCATTCCTAGATACCTCTTCAGAGTTGAATGAATCAAATCAAATTGATCAGCATTTACTGATCATGTGAGGGACTGTATTTCCTTGCCGGGACACAGAGAGGTGAAGGATGCAAGGAAAAAAAAAAAAAAAAAAATAAGCCAGGAAGCTTGCTATCTATTCAGGAAGTAAGGCCAAAATAAAAGGCAAAATAAGGACGTAGACAGTAGGTCAAGTTAATACTGGAAAAGCCACTATATAGGATGTGATTAATTGCCAAAATGATTTTGCAAACAGTTAGTTGTTGGAATTCAAGGAGTGGAAACTACACTATACCAGGGTGGTCTGAAAAGACATCAAGGGCTCAATGGGATTTGATCCAGGCTTGAAGGATGGTGAAATCTAACTGAATAAAGAGTGCAAAGGTCAATGGAAGGGTTGGCAAACTATTGCCTCTGTGCCAAATTGGGTCTGCAGATTGTTTTTGTATACCTGGAGAACCAAGAATGGTTTGTACATTTTTAAATGACTGAAAAAGATAAAAAAGAATAATAATATTTCATAATATGAAAAAGTATATGAAATTTAAATTTCAGTGTCCATAAATAAAGTTTTATTGGAACACAGCCACCACCCGTCTGTTTATGTCTATGGATGCTTTCATACTGCAGTGGCAGAGTTGAATAATTGTCACGGAGATCAAATGGCTGACACAGCCCAGTATTTACCATCTGGCTCTTTACTGACAAGGTTTGGCAGTGCTTGGTGTAAGAGAATAATGAGAAGTAATGGTGAAAGGAATGTTGGCAGGCCTATAAATATATCAAGTTTTGGCAATAAGAAGCAGCTATGGATGTCCTTCGACAGGCTTCAGTGATATCAGCCGCTCAGGCCTCTCCACTTCAGGGCCAACACCGATCCTCCCGACCCTCTTAGGGATGGGCTTACTGAATAAGTTGGTCCCATCTCCCTACTGTAACGAGAGGGTTTCAAGTTGTACACCCAACTTTAGGAAATCCAATCCATGTGTGAGCTTAGCTTGGTTCTGAAAGGTCTCTCCCTGATTGATGTTTTTCATGGTATTACAGTAAAAACATCGGATTTAAAGTCAGAATGCTCTTGCTTAATTCTTCATTCTGCTCACTTGCCTCTGCCAAAAGAGGGTCATAGAGCCTCCCTGTGCCTCAACTTTCTTATCTGTAAAATAAAAATAATATTTACCTCATGGAATTATTATACAGATAAAAGATTATATGCACATGAAAGCTGTAAATGTTCTGCACTTTAAAGCACATCGATATCAGCAATGAAAATGAACAGATTACTGATATGTGTGACATGAAGCTCAAAAGCATTGTGTTAAGAGCCAGGAGCCCAAAACCTGTGCATACTGTATGATTCCATTTCTGTGACATTTCAGAAAAGACAAAACTACAGAAACAGAAATGAACAGATTACTGATATGTGTGACATGAAGCTCAAAAGCATTGTGTTAAGAGCCAGGATCCCAAAACCTGTGCATACTGTATGATTCCATTTCTGTGACATTTCAGAAAAGACAAAACTACAGAAACAGAAATCTGATGAGTGGCTGCCCAGTGAGGGGTGAGCGGGGAGAGAATTGAGACAAGGGAGCTTTGTGGGGTGGGGAAAATGTTCCATATTTTGATTGTTTGCTGGTTACACTTTATATATTTTCAAAACTCATGCAATTGTACACCTCAAAAGGATGAATATTATTACTGTGTATATATTATACATCAATAAACCTGACTTTTGAAAAATTGGAGAAAAGAATATTCTAAAACATAATGTGTTACATATTTGGTCCTTAGGGATTAGATCTTATTGACTAAGCACTCAACCAATAAATAACCTATTCCAAAAAAAAAAAAAAAAGAGGAAGCCATTAAAAGTTTTGAATATAGGAGGAAACCAATTTATAAATTCTCTCTGTTGCCTAAACACATCACCCAGGTTTGCAAATGTGTGTTAAAACCAACAAATGAACAAGAATTTTCAGATTCCTAAGCCCACTGCTGCTTTATACCTGTGCTTTTGAAAAGAATGAATGGCTTTTCTGTAGGGGACATGCCCCTTTACGCTCTGAGATTGTCTGTCCCAACCTCACACAGGTGTGCTGTGAGCAGCTTGACACATTTTGACATCATTGTACCCAATAACAATACCTTGTGTTTGGAGCTTCTCTGAGGGTGTATTTAGATGATTCCTCCTTGGATCTTTCTTTTTCTTTGGATTACATGATGTTGTTCTTCTGTTACCTTTCCTACAACAGGTCAGACACAGATACAAAAAGTGAGGGTTGCAGGGAGATCCCTGGAAGGGGTTGGTATTGACACAAAGAATTAGCAAAAATCCTAGGTCTCTCCAGAGGGTTTGCAAGAGGAGACCATTGGAGAAAAATGGTTCAGGCAAACAAATGCAGCAGGAGCCCAACTGTTAGACCCCTCCTGTGGGTGCTCTCATCAGATCTACTATGGATACGTTTCAAATACCAAATTCCTACTCTAATATTTTAGGGCAGCATGTAACAGGCTCTCTAAAAGGAGAAATCTAAGAATGTAGAGAAACATACACGGGAAGAACCTCACAATAAAAAGAAAATAAACTCTGGGAAACATGGTTAAGAAATATCAGACTCAATTAATAATGGAGCCTTCAAAAGCCTTGGAGAAATCCAATACAAACCAAATTCAAGCTACATGCCAGTGCTTCCAGCCATATTTACTTTCAATTGATTATGTTTTAAAAAGAATCTTAGGAGGGGGGATTCTTTAAGAAAAACAAATCTGGTTAAAAGCTACACTTTTCTAAGTAATGAAAATAAGGTAAAGACATTTATTTCAGATTTTTTCTCTTTTAATTAAAAACAGATTATTTTTTTTTTCTTTATTGGTTCATTTGAAGAAAAAAACTTTTTCTTTTTGAGAAAAGATGGGACTTCCAATAGGAATGTTAGAGCTGAGATGAAGTTAAGGGAGAATGTCATTGAATGGGAAAATATATAATATTTAAAAAATGCAGTTTTAAATCATGCATAACTTGTCTTGGAGTTCTTCCCAGATAAGTATCAGTATAGTCAGGGACAATATGAATTCTGGATGAGAAGTGTGTAAAGATTTGAAATAGCAGCAAGCTCAAGTCTTGGGAATGCAAACTGGATGACATTTTGGAATGAACTGCTATCCAAAGGCAGGAAAATGAGGCTTAACCCCATATGTCATAAATATCCACCTAAAGGGACATAGCCACAGATGAACGTGGACACAAATACAGACACAACGCACACGTGAACATGAACAGATAGACACCTGCTTTAGGGTATTAAAAAGTTCCTATGTCAAGATCGTAACAGTGCAATGGTTTATAGAAAAAAATCATTTCCTATTCTAGCTCAGAATATAAAAAAATGGCTTTCCCATAACATTTTCTAATGGATCTTACAGTCACACTCGCCTATGGAAACATGATTTATGTAGTGGATGACAAGAAGAGTTTTATGATACAGGAATTCATTTAAAATCTTTAGATGGAAAAATTGAGATCCAATTAAATCCTTAATAAATGACTCTGTGTTGAATATAAATAAATTAATATGTGTGCAGGATGAAATTGGAAAAGTTATGGGAGTTTGCATTTTAATTCTATTTCTATTTCCATCAGAGAACTGTATGTTATAACTCTGAAAATTACTTGGTAATAGGGCTGTTTACAATGAAGCAAAACTGAATTTAAATAGCAAATGTTATCCCATGACTTGTCATAACTCAAGAGGTCTCAGCCTTTAAGGCATGTTGCAATCTCATGGTAAATGTCCTATGAGGAAAGGGAAGGCAGACCAATTGGAACCAAGAAGAGCCCTAGAAAGCCTGTTGTAGCTATAGGTTGAGTCCCCAAGGATCTGGCCATGAAGGGAAGCAAGGGCTGGTAGGCTATGGAGCAGACCCTATGCAGTAGGTGAGATATAGCAGTGTGAGTTTTTGATGGGAGGTAATTGTCAAGGCCATAAGGTGGTAACAGCTTGGTTGTGTGGGAGAATTCCTTTTTCTCTGTATCCTTGCCAGCATTTAATTTTTTCTTGTTCGTAATAGTCATACTAACTGGAATGAGATGATATTTCATTGTAGTTTTAGTTTGCATTTCTCTGATGATTAGTGATGTTGAGCATTTTTTTCATGTGCCTGTTGGCCATTTGCACATCTTTGTTTGAGAAATGTCTGGTCAGGTCCTTTGCCCATTTTTTAATTGTTACCCTAGGTTTAGTATGTATTGTAGTGAAGATACGTACTTACCGTAGGCTTTCCTACGATCAAACCTAAGACAGCCAACTCAGTATGAAGTCTGCCAAATGACAGAGTTTGGGCTCCTAATATACTGGCCAGCTGAGTGTAGCTGTTAAGACCGCAGACCCAGGAGTCTCTGGATTCAAACTCTTGTTCCTCTGATTACCAGCTAGGAATAACAACATCCATAATGGATGTTGTGAAGATCAAATGAAATATTGTATGCAATTGCAAGGTGCCTCCATTTTGTTATTATTATTTTTGGAAACAGAAGCTCTTGGCTTTAAGTCACATAACTTGAGAGTTGGAAAATTATGCTACACCTATTTGCTAGACTAAGCTATTCCTGTAGTTTGGCCAGTTTTACAACAACAGAATTCCTGGCCATGCACTCCCATCCTCCCACTTCCCACAAACCTAACTGTATCTTAATTCCCTGGTAGGTTCAGAACCTGTTTTTATTTCCCCCAAAAGCTTTTTTTCAGACAAGACTGGTCCATCTGAAACAGTAATTGTCGATACTGTTTTGTAAAATTTCCAGTCCAGATTTATTCTAGAATCTCTTGAATTTGTTTTTAGATCATTATAAATGTGCCTCTATTCCTAGCTGTATTTAGACATACCTTGTGGATCCTAACAACAAAATAACATTTGGGAAGAGTGGACATGAGTGGGTGGGAATTTAACTCAAGTAGACTGATGAGGCTCGTGAAGACCCCATCATGGCATACCTAAGTCACAAGAAGCTAAAGATTTGCCCCATCAGTGTTCATCCTTCTGAGACACCCAAGGTCAATGGCGATCACCCCATTCATCTTCTCCCACAGCTATCTTTAGAGGAAGGTTTTCTTCTCTAGATAGATAAAGAGCACATTTAAAAGGGCTCACAGTGCCAGGAACTGGGTGAGTACAGTTACAAACACTATCTCATTTGATTCTCATGAAGATAGATACTATTATATAAGGTAAGGATTAAAGAGAGATTAAGAAAATTGATCGAGGTCTCCCAGCAAGGAAGTGCTCTGCAGGGCTGTTCACTAGAATCTGTTGTGTTGCTTTCCCAGATATGCAGACTTTCTAGAGAGAGGATGGGCTCTGCCTCCCCTTGCCCCTTCTTCCTGCTGCCCCGCTGGGCCCAGATCCTCCTCCCTTATAGCTTTGCTTTCGCTTTGGTTAAGGCCCTTACCATGTTATATCATCATATATCTCTTATCTTTCCACTTAACCGTGAGTCTGCGATCATGTTAGAAACCACAAAAGTCATTCTCTCATCCTTGACAGGTCCTGTAGTACCTCAATAAAGATTCTTCCTCCAGTTAGCAGTAGTTCAAAAAAGGTTTATTTCTGCATTTAGTAGCTCAATAAAAGTTTGTTGAATTGATAAATGAATGAATGAACGAATGAAATACTGAGTTTTCCTGGCCTGCTAAAGATCGTGAGCTAAAGCAGCAGTTTATAGTACACAGTCCTGATCAAAGGGTTCTTACTGAAAATACACTGGATCTCCCAGGCAGAGGAGGGAGGGACCTGAGGATGGAGAGGGAAAGCAGGATGTGGTCTCCTATGGAGACTGAAAAGAGGAGTTTCCTTTGGGAACAGGCAGTTTCTTCACTGTCTTAGCCTTTGAAATCTTCCTGTGGTTCCTCCTGCTCTCTTAGGATTTTGAATGTTCTCATCAAGAAGATCCCAAATCCCAAGAAAGCCTTGTTTCTTTATGGTTTGTGAGCCAATATCATGTTGCCACCACCAGCCCACGGTTCTTTTCCCAACTCCATGTAGCCAAACTGGACAGGGCTTACGGCAAGTGAAATTTCTTTTGGGTAAATATTGTGGGGCTGCTTTTAAAATTTCTCTGACAGACCAAGTGGTAAAAATCTGTGTATATACACAGAATGTTCTCTCCCTTCTTTGTTTTGCTGTGATGTTACTTTCCCTGCAGAAATAGCTCTGCTTCTCTTGGCCGGCTTTTGCTTGGGAATGCAGCTTTCCTTGCTGATTTTCACTCAAATAGGGCCTGCTGAGGAGCAGCAGAGAGGACCCTAAGCAACTTCTCCCAGGCCACCTGCCTCTTAGGTAGAGCTGCGGTATCATCCTTTGTTTTAGCCTCAGAAAACTCACGTTGGATGGTTGAAAAATGACCTCTGAATTTTGAGCCTAACAAGAAAGATCTAACTTTGTTACTGAAAAGTTCTAGCATAGTTCTTTCAAATTCTAAGCTTGTAGTAGGGAAGAGCAAAGTCTTATGCATGCACACACACTTTATATACATACAATCAATGTATACATTACCATGCAATAATTCATAAATACATTCTGTTTTTATGTATTGTATGCTTATGTATATACTTTTTAAATAAACAAAGAAGCACGCAGCAGAAAAGAGCAATGATGTACATAATACAAGTATATATATGTATATATGCATATACATGTTATATATATATAACATCTATCTCTCAATCTCTCTCTATACACACACACAAAATGCACCATAACCATTCATAGTTGTAACATTCATGGCATCTTTCATTGGTAGATGTTTGCGCTCCTTTATTAGCAGCAAAGTATTAATTTTTTAAGCGGAGCGAAGGCTCTATCCTTAAACAGTCCAGGGAGAACTTCGCTGCTAATTCTGAACGATCCTTTGATATTCCCAAAGCCTGTAGAGGGGCGATTCCAAACCCATTTAACTTTTTTAAAAGTGTGATCTGCAAGGAGTTCTCTGATGTGTGAGAGGAGACCAGACCGAGGAGAAGAAAAAGCCGCTTTCTCTCCTCAGCGGGACCCAGACCCCTGCCTGCTGCTGATCAGACTTTGTAATACGTTGAACCACAAGAAGTTCACAGGAGAAAGGAAAGAAAGAAGTAACAGGCTCCGGGGGGCTGCCGCGGGCGCCCGGGACGGCACGTGACCGGGGGGCGGGGCCGCCCGGGCCGCCGGCCAGTGGACGAGGCCGGGGGCGGGGCCTCGGCACGGGGGGCGGGGCCTGTGCCCGCGCAGCTCGCACCGCGGTCCCCTTATTTGGATCTGCGGGAATGTGGGCTGGAGCGGTCCTGCCGCGGTACCAGCCTCCAGCCTGCCGCCGGGACTGCCCCTGACCCAGGCGCGCCCGCTGCTCGGTGGCAGGAGGGCCGGCGGAGCGCCATGGCCTGCATCCTTAAGGTAACGACTCGGATCTGTGGCTCGGACGCGTGGTTGGCCAGCCCCTTGCTGCTAAGAGGCACCGAGTCAGCCGCGGTCCCTCCGCATCCTCATCTCAGCTGTCTTTCCTTGGCATTGATTTTCTTTTTGTTCCTTTGGCAAATGCATATGGAGGGAGATTCTGAAACAGGCAGCTGGCACAGCTTCTTTTCCCACCATTCCTGCCTGCTCGCGCCTGCATTGAAGGAGCTGCAGACTGTTGGCTCCATGGGAGAGCAGGGCTGTGTGCCGAATAACGGGGATGGCAGGGAGAGGAGGGGTGCTCCCGCGGGTCCCGCGGCTCTGTTGAGCCTGAGGCCTTCCAGGGGCCACGGGGAGAGGAGGAGTGGCTGGGCATTGGGTGGTGGTGGTGAGGGGCCTACTCTTTGAATGGGGAGGGGACTCAGAGGAGGGGGCTTCTACTGAACATACGATCATGGGAAGACAAAAACTTTTAAGTTTACAGGTAGTCCCTTAGGAATGAGTTTTCTATGAGATCTGCTAGCTCTATGTGCCATTAGCTGTACTTTGGAAAAGTTCACAGGAGGATGTATTTATTAGTAAAGAACTTTGGAGCCTCCTTATGAACAGACAAAATGATTTTATGCTCTACCAAGGTCCACTCAGCCACCCCTTCCTTGTTGGATTTTCTTTCTCCAAGACTAGGTTCGTAACCTGGACTGAGCATCTTTTTGGATTCACAGCCTTGTGGCCTCAGGTGGGAGAACTTGGTGTGAGGGGCTCAGGTGAGAAGAACTTTCCATCGCTCTGGGAGCACCCCCCTACCCCCCGTTTTTTATGCACTACTTTTTCTACAAGTGCCTAACCAAAAACCGTCACGGCATGAAGGTTTCCTGGGCTTTTTCTGGAGAATGAAAAGGCCTGTTTGTTCCAAGCCCGGGAGAGCCATGTGTGACAAAAGATAACACCGGAAAACAATTTTTTTGTTGTGTTATTGTGAAATAGCATTTATTTCTCTGTAGGGTGAATTGAAGTCATCTGCTATTCTGGTTACCTGAATCATCTTGCAACATGCCTTGGTGTTAATGATGCAAATAAGAGGCTAACCTAGTGAATTTGTTTCCTTTTCTTTGAGTAAAGATCAGACATTTCCTGTGACTTTCCTGAACTTCCTCTGTTTGTTTCAGAACATTTTTCTGAGACATAACACATAGTAGCAAAATCAGAAGGAAATAAAACATCAGTATTACAATATAGGATTTTTAACCCAGAGACTCTTAGCACAGGGGCTCAAATATGAATATGACTCATCTCTACGATTTTTTGCATTATTAGGTGAAAGGGAAATTGAGGAGCGTGACATTTATTGTTAGCTCTTTTCTTCCCTTTTGGTTTCTCTCCTGCCCGTCCATGTACCAGACATCTTTAATGCACATCCCAAGCTACACATGGGTGTGATCCAATCTTTCTCTTCCAATGCCTCACACTGACCTCAGACTTTTGGGGCATATCTGAATCCTCCTTATCCTTCTTCCACTGAAACTAATCTGGGATGCAGACAGGTATACGGCAAAAAGCAAAGGCTTTGGACTCAGACCTTGGTCTGAATGCTGGCTCTGGCCATTGCTAGTACATGACCTTGGACAAGTTATTTAAATGTCTCTAGAGTCTCAGTTTCGTCAATAAAAGACAAAAGTAATAGCACCTACTCCACAGGGTTGCTGTGGGAATGAAATAAGATAGGGTATGAAAAGTACTTGTGGCCCAGGCATTTAATATGTACCATTTTTCCCCCTGACGTATAGTAGTTACTGCAGTTTAGTTAATCCTTACTCTGTCCTCAGTACTCTTTTATTCTTATATATGTACCTGCACGGTAAGTATCATTGTTTAAAACCCCATTTTACAGATGAGGAAGCTGAGGCTTCTGAGTTTAAGAGATTTGCCCAAGGCCACACAAGTTTAAGTACAGAGTAAGCCTGGATTCAGACCCAGATCTTCCAAACTTTCTTACATTTTAAAGCTGTTCCCAGGTGATGACTTTTTAAGATGTGCTAATACCATTCAGTCCTTACCACCTTTTAGCAACAAGCCTTCCCACAGTGATGGTCTAGATGGTCCGTGCTGGCCTTTCCTCTTATTTTGGAGAGGCTACACATGGTAGAGTGGGTATTACAGGTTTCAGAGTACAGAGTCTGGGTTCAGTGCAAGCTTGGCCTCCTGCACGTGATGTTAGACAGTCGCTGCACCTGGAGCCTCAGTTTTCCCAAGTTGTAGATTTCAGATAATTATAATAGTTGCCTCACAGAATTGTAGTGAGGGTAAAGTGATGGACTTTTTAAAAAATAAAACATTTAATAAAACTTTTTAAATAAAAATTTTTAAATAAAACATTTCAATAAAACATTTTTTAAAAATAAAACATTATGCTTCCTAGGACTTGGTGTTGGCATCTGTATGAGATGAAAGTCTTTCCTCCACCCTCTTATGTTCTGTGCCTGAGCCTGAGAATTAAACTGACGAAAGATAGATTAACAGAAGAAACGCATTCTAGTTTTATTTGATGTTAATATTTTTACATGTACGTGGAGAGATTTCATGTGTCAGAAATGAAGACCCAAAGAAGCAGATTGGCTTGAGAGCTTATATATCACATTAACAGAGAATGATGTATTGTGGAGATGTGATGTCACAAAGGAAAAAAGGGG